CTTTTCTGTGGAACATAATGAGAGCAGGGCTCAAGTCAGTGGATAAAGAAATGTGTGGGGGTCTGGCCCCAGCCCACTCCGGTTACAGCCCCAGAAGAGCCGTAATGGGGAACAGGCACATTCCTGTTCAGCGACTCCCCACTCCCTATCTGTTTTCAAGGAAAGAAAACAGAAAAAGAATGTTAGAGACTTGGACAGGCTTGGGTGAGGCAGGAGCAGCAGCCTGGGTACTTGGAAGGTTGTACCATGAGGTCACAACACTGTGCCAGGGAGGAGGGGAAGAGGAATCCTAGGCAGAGTGGCGAGTGGCCTAGTGGAAGGCACATGAGGTTCAGATGTAAGAGGGCCAGATTTGGTTCTGGACTCTGACCTCCAAGGAGCTGCAAACCCTGGAATGACGGTAGAATATTCCTGAACCTCTCTGTGTTTTGATGAGGGAATATGGCATGGTTTGGGCTTCAAACATTTTAAGCATTTAAAATTTTAATAAAGCTTTTAAACCAAATTTGTATAAATAGCTTTTAAAAATAAGTACATAAAACATGAGCCATTAATACATGAAATGGATCAAAATGAAGTTGATATGGTTAGTGTGAGTATAGGGGACATAACTATCCGCGTCCCTCATTAGTGTTCGTCCTTACCCTGGGAGTTTTGTATATTCTAATTTGCAAACCACTATTAGAAAATATTATCTATTAGAAGCCTACTGAGCTCCTCTAACTCATTGGGACTCTGTATCTTTCTCAGAAATAAGAAGTTTAAGAAGATGGCAGGGTGGAACTTTGTACCTAACACAGTGCCTGGTACATGATTCCTGCCCGTGTGTCATATTCATGCTGAATGATGTAGTCAGACATTGAGAGGAGGAGCACAGGTGGCAGGTGTGAAAGCTCTTTAATTACCTGAGTGTCTCATAGACTGACTGATGCAAGTGATCTAATGGACAATAGGAGTCAAGACAAGTTTTTGTCCTAAATCTACCTTCCACTCTGTGTTTGACCATAGATCTGCCCCTTTCTTTCTTTGATCTTCTTTGAAGTGTGGGTAAAAAAAATGTGTAATGGCCCGGGGATTTAGCTCAGTGGTTCTGGCTCCTGCCTCTCAAGCTCAAGGTCCCAAGTTCAATCCCCAGTACCAAAAAAAAAAAAAAAAAATGTCTAAGGTCCTTATCTTAACTGAGATTGGGGAAGACCTAACTCCTCAATGAAAACTGGGATGCTATTGGCAGAAAGTTATGGTGACAGGAAGAAGAACAACAAAATCAATACCAAAGCAGGGCATGGTGGCTTACATCTGTAATCCCAGCACTTGGAAAGCTGAGGGAGAGGGGTCACTTTGAGTCTGAGGCCAGCCTGGGCTACATAGTGAGATCCTGTCTCCATAATAATAATCATAATGAGAGTTAATGACATAGTTTAGCTTTTCCTGTTAGACACCTTGCTAATTAACTTACATACAATATTTTATATGATATTCAAAACACTCTATTAGATGCCATTATGTTTTTACAAATATGACAATAAATGCAGAGAGTTAAGGAACTTGTCCCAAGCAAGCAGTAAGTGGGGACATACTAGGATTTAGTCTGTGGTTGTATACATTGGGAGCCCAAGCTCTTAACCACGCCACTATATTATTACTTATTGAATTGAACTGCTGCCAGCTGGAGAGTATAGTATATTATGGAACCACAATGTGTATGGCTGAATTGCACTGATTTGAATTTGTTCATAGAGAAGCTACCAGGCCTTTCTTAGCATCTCCTCCCCTGGGTGAGAAAGGACACTGAAGGGTCACTTCATTCACCTGTCTCTATCTACCCTGCACTTAAACCTTCTGAAATACAGTGCCAAGAAAAGCAATCTCATAATTTACTTTATGGGTCTGTTCTTGTATTTAACAACCTTCTTGTTGTCAGATTACAAGCTGTAGAAGGTCAGGGACCATTTCTTTTATGGTCTCATTCCTTAAACCCATAGAACTAAGAGTGGCATAAATATAACTGCAAATTGAATAGCTTTGAGAAAGCACACTTTCTAACACTGTCATCTGAAAACTTTCTCTAGGAGGCAGCAAAGCATAAAAGAAAAGGTGTGAGTTTGAAGTTTAAAGAATATGGGTTCAAATATCAGCTCTGTCTCTTCCCAATTTTGGAGCCTTAACTTCAATTTTACTGTGGGGATTACATCCAAAAAAAGGTTAGATGGAAAAAAGAAGAGTACATACTAAATAATTTTTCCCTTCCTTTTGCTGTTCTCAAGGTCATGTACCTGCATATAGTCCCAAATAGAACTGGTATTGAATATAATGCCCTTAATACGAGTAGTTATAACTCAATTTAGACATGTTCTTTAGTTGAACTAATCCTATAAACCTTAACACTGTTTAGAACTTTGGACTGTAAGAATCTTACTGACTTGACATGTTTATGAGGCTTTTATCCATTGTCCAAATTTTTCTGAAACTCATAGATACATCTGGAAAGCTCTTCCCATTTGAAAATGAATGTCAGCCATCTTTTGGCTCTAAGGAAGTTAGTTAATACTGGCCACAAGCATACTGTATTCCCTGATGAAGAGTCATAGGACATAGGCTCCAAAGGACATAGGACCAAGTTCATAGAAAACAAATGTAACCAGCCAGACTTGGCCTGACAAATCAAATGAAACAAGACCCTCACTTGATCGAGTGAATAATCCCATGTTTTGTCCTCTTTAAAAAAAAATTCCCCATCATATATTGATCTGATTTGATATTTATTGGAATGAAGATATTGTTGGTTTATAATAGCACTATGGAAGAAGTTGATGTAAGAGGCCTACAGAGTAAATGTGGGGTGCCAAAAGTTGTGACTAATAAGTTTTAATTATTAGCCTTCATTTTCCAGTGAAACCTCTGATTCTAGACATTTTTGTTTCCTTCTAGGTTCTTAGCTTTACTTTCTAGACTCCTAACCTATAAAAGAGCTATTAACCCCTTATAACAGAAAGGAAAGCAGGCTTTGAGAAGTTTGAGGACTTACAACAAATGGTGGAAAGAGAGATCAGTTTCAGCTCTGTCTTGTAAAGGCAACTAGTATTACATGTTGCTGACATTAGCCTGATGTAGATACTTAATCCAGGATCTACCTGACAAGCCAATGAATTGTATATTTCTTTGTGAAAAATGGAAAGGGAATCTCAGTACCTATCAGATCTGCTGTATTGGACAAAGGGACAAATGCGTTGTAGTAGAGTCACGCGACCAAATCTCAGGACCAGCTAGGCAATTCAGTCAGACAAGTGTTAAAGTGTTAGATGAAGAATGAGATATTTTGTTTTTATTTTTAACTGTGTTTCCTTACGAATGAAACTTTTCTTTGAAAGATCAGTAGGAAGTTATGAGTATATTCTGCCCAACCAGTTCCTTGATAGAGAACCACCATGTAGCTTCTTGAGTTTCATTCTTTTCAAGTACCGGCTGACATGGCTGTTTCATAATGGTTTCATTACACTAGCTTGAATGTAATGCCAGGCAGAGGGGAAATAATTGGACAAGCATCCTCCTTTTGCTTATTACTAGGAATAAGTTCCAATATAGTGTCGGAGGGACTCCACATAAGCATGAAGGAGGACAAGGAAGCAACAGTTAGGCCTCATACACTATGTGGTATAAAATACTTTACATGCCAGTTCTACTGCCAGATCATCCAGTTTTAGCATTAGAAGGGAACTTAAGAGGCCATTTAGTCTGGCTCATTTACTTGGCCTATTTTAAGTAATTTTTATTGATTTTTTTCTTTTTACAAAAGCAATATATGATTACGAGGATAATTTTTAAAGTAGAGATAAGCAAAAATAAGTAGAACAGTGCCCATTGTCTCACTTTGCAGAGCCACTATTGAGCTTTTGATATATTTGCTTCATTCTGTTTTTAAATTAATGAATTTTTTTCTCCAAAAGACTGGATTATTCTGTAATTGTGTAACCTGTTTCTTAGCTTAACTATATATCATAAATATCTTTTTATATAATTTCATATGTGTTAGTTGCTATAAATATAAAATACCCCATTACATCAATGAGCTATAATTGATATAGCTATTTCTATTTTGTTAAAATTTATTTTTAACTCTTGCTATGTATAAATAGTACTACAACTTAATTATTGTGTATATCTATGTTTGTATTTTTTTTCTAGAATCCCGATAATGATTCTAGCACCTTCACCTTACATAAGAACAAACTAAAGGCATAGAAATGGGAATTTCTATAGCACATTCTTATCAGAGCTAAACTACATCTAAGATTCCAGAAAGTTCATTATTCTTTCTAGTCTTCTCTACTTTTCAGTATTCTTAGTGGACTTCTCTTTGTAGTACATTACCTATTTCTTAAAATTGCAGAGTTTGTGGATCCCAAATATGTAACATGTCATGTCCTGTACCGATGACCTTCATTACTAATTATTCATAGAAGCCTTTTCCCCTTTACTGGTCTGGGCCCGTGTTCAACTCAACATCACACTGAAAAATGCAGTACTAGTGTGTAAAGAATAGCCATGTGACATTAATCTCTTTTATCCTTAATCTAACTCCTTCATTTTATAAAGAAGGAAAATGCAATTTCAGGAAAGAAGGGCCTTGCTCAAGGAGTTGAAGAAGTTAATGACAGTGACAAGGTCAAAATAGTTCCTCAGGCAGAAAGAAAGCACAGTTCCATGTTGTCTTTTTACACATTTTAATTATAAAATAATTTACTTCATTTTTGCCTTATTACAATCTATACAGGTAGGTATTAGCATTTTGTCTAATTTTGAATTATTCTTCACCATAAATTGGAACAAAAAGTCATCAGAGATAGATACTAATCAGCACCATTTTAAAATCTTCTGCTTTTTTATAAATTCACTAGTCCACCTGATAGTGGTATCCAGGCATTTGATGGGTTTGGACAAGGCATGAATGTCAGCTCACCAAGGCCCAAGTAGGGAGCTCATCTTTCTTTGTCTCCCTCCAGGAGAATTCCTGAGTTTTGCTGATGACTTACTCTCTGGTCTGGGCACATCTTGCGTAGCAGCTGGTCGAAGCCATGGAGAGATCCCTGAAGTCAGTATCTACTCGGTCATCTTCAAGTGCCTGGAGCCCGATGGTCTCTACAAGTAAGATGTGATGGGGGTATGGGGAGGATGAGGCAGACAGGATGATTCAAAACCTGGGAAGGAAAGCAAGAGTTATGCTCTCCAGGCCAGCCCAGTGTTTATTGGCCAGCCTGTATGTGCACCTCGAGAATCTAGGGTTTTAGAAGGGTCCATTTGGAAGTGTGGCCACTGTGAGTCACAGAATCAGACAGGGTTGGTACTAAAGAACCCAGGGAGGCTAGGAATTCAAAAACATTCCTCCTACTGGTGACGAATCTGCAGCTCAGAGAAAGAAAGTGGATTCCTTAAGATCACAGTGCAACTTATCAAGAAGCCTGGGCATCCCCACCTACTGCTTGGTTCTGTTTTCTATGCTCTCTCTCTTCAAAAATATTTGATTAGTATGTCTGAGATACATGAGACATATATGCACACACACACACTAAGATGTGTATATATGAACATATACATATATTAAGATGCATATATGCTGATAGACTGTAATACAAAGGAGATACGTATCATTTATAGAATACATTGGAGTCACTGCATTCAAACTTTGGGAGATACAAGAGGAAGTCACTTTGAGATTCATTTGTTAGTCTGAGAACAGAAGCGAAGCTTATTTTTCATTCATTTCCCACCTTGATGAGTGTTGCTACTTCTGGGTGTAGCCATCATAAACTGTAAAGCAGAGCTCTACAGACCAACTTTCCTCATATACTCCTATTGTAAAACCATAGGCCACCTCCTTATGAGCCTAGAAAGCTTCAGTTCTTAAGAAATTGAGCTTTATTAACCAGTCATTCAACTCATTCATTTACTCTTATTCACTCACTCAGTGATTCATTCACCCTTTATTCATCCATCTACCCACTCAATCTTCTTCTGTTTTTCTCTGCCTCAATATCCTCCCATTGCATTCATGTAGTAATTTATCAATTATTTTATTTACATTTGTATTTACACTTTCATGGCTCATTTACTTATTTAGCAATCATTTTCTGTGGATTTGCTATGTCTTGGTACTGAAGATTTCAGGTATGAATGTGACTATGATAGGGGTCTTAACCTCAGACAACTTATAGCCTAATCATAGTATCAAAGGCCACAGACTTTATATTCAAATGTGGCTTTGACATTTTTTGGTTATGTTACCTTAAATTAATTGCCTTACCTACATAGGTCTCAGTTTTAACCTTTGTAAAACAGAAATAATAAAATTGCAGAATTATGTGAGAATTAAACAAAAAAACCCTAGCACAATACCTCCAAATATATGTTTAATAAATATTATACACCCCTCCACTATCTGTGAACCTACTTCACCTCTAAGACATTGCATTTCCTTCCTTCACTTGCTTTCTGAGCACTATAACTTTTCCAAAGACTACGGTACCCTTTTGAATGCTTGACACACTTAGGCTTCTTGATAACACATAACATATTAATGCACAAACTCAAGAATATCACCATAAGCTGGAGACTGGACCTTCTGACCCTGGATCTGCCACTGACTCAGCGATATAGAGGTTCAAGGTTTCTCTTAAGTCACTCGGGAGCAGTGAGTAGTCTAGGGGTGGCATCCTCAAAGTACACTAGGCTGTCAGATCTCTTCTACTGGGTTATCAGAGTGACATTCACAGAGGAGACAGGATGTACTTGTGGACCTAAAAAATCAGTCAGACATTGAGAGCAGGACTCTCCAGCTGCTATCAGTAAGCACAGACACTAATGCTAGGAGTTCTGGGGTCACTACATCTATGCAATACAAGTATGTGACTAGATGAAGAGCTATAACTCCCTCTTCAATTCTAGTAACTGTGATTATATGAAGAAAGTGGCATTTCTGAAGACTGCCTGACGGCTGGATTTTGTCTCCTCTGTCCCTCATTAAGGATGCAGAATGGAGGCAGACAGATAGACTTGTATTTAGGTCCATTCCCTCTCCTTTATTACCCCTTCAATTCTCTAAACCTCAGATTCCTCCTGTGTGAGAGAATAAAATGCTATCAAGTTCCCAGGGGAACTTGATCACATCATGTGTGCAAACTGCTTGATGAGGAGCTCCCAGAAGGAGTATAAGAGTTAACTGCTAACCCTGTTGCTATTATTGCCTTTGTTGTGATAATTATTAATTTCAACTCCCTCCCACCCATTCTCCAACTGATGGGAGAGACAGAAGGTAGCAGAAAAGGCCAGAGCCCTGTCAGGTGGTTCCTGTCCACTAAATCAGGAGTAACCTTGTCTCTAGGTGGGGTTGTAGGAAGCTGGTATAGTGTACAGCCCCACTATGTAGAGTGCAATGAAATATTTTATAGCTCTTCTAAGGCAATTAACACTGACAGCCGACAAATCAGCTGCCACCCCTTAAAGGGGGATGAACACTTTCCCTTGTCCCTTATTTCCCCTCGCTGCCTGGCCCCACCCTTCTTTCCCACCACTCGGAGCCGGGAACATTCTTACTCTGTGCTAGAAAAGTGCTCGTCATGAATTTGTCATCCCTATCTCTGAACACTATTTTATTTTTTATTTATTTACTTTTGAAACTGATTTTGTTAATGGCTGGGCTGCTCTGACAAGAAGCCAGGGTGTTGTTTGGAACGACCTCTCTTCCCACTGGCGGGTCTCCTCCCATGAAGTCTGACCAAGTCAGTCTTGAGTTTCAAACTATTCCAGTGTCAGTTCTTGGGTTTTCTCATTTTCTGCTTGCTCCTTTCCAACCAGTTTTCTTTCTCGTTGACCAATAAAGGGAGCATGTGGCAGTGGAAAGAGCACGGGCTTTGAAGACAGGCTGGGTTAGGTATGAATCCTGGTTCTGCCCTGTACATACTTATAAATTGAACCCGAGCAGGGCATTTTTCAGTGCTCTATGGGAAAGTTTCTTCTCTGAAAAAGAAGGTTAGAAGGTTGGTAAATGCCTCCATCTCAGGCTTATAGAAAAGATTACATTGAGAAACGACAAGAACAGCATTTGCTAGAATGCCTGGCACACAGGAGCCTACCGGAGGAGTTAGCAGTCTTCCTCTTCACATTTCATTCTTCTTCATTCCATCACTGGTTGTCTGCGACTCTTCTCCTAAGGACAATCCTGAAAGAGCTGGTTCCTATGAAGCAAGTTGACTTCTCTATCTCTGAAAAGAATGACCTTCTAGAATCCTTTGGGGGAAAAAAAAGAAGAGAGAAGATGGGTCCAGAGGAGAGAAGGCTTGGGAGGAACTGGCTTTTAACTAAACATGGTCAGATGCCAACTATACCACCACCACCCAATCCCCATCCAGGCTTCCAGAAAGATTCAGGTGACAAGAAAGTAGAGTACCATTGTCTATACCAGAGATCCTGGGTTTACAATCTGCTACCATCCCTTCTGCTCTGGGGCCTTGGGCTAAATATTTATGTCCTCTCCCTGTTCTGCTATTTTGCATCTTTAAAATGAAGATGCATTTGGTCCCTCAGACCTCAAGAGTTCTGGGTATGCATACTTGTGCGATGGGATTTATTATCATTCTCTCTTCTGGGCTTCTGCCTTTCCAGCTTTTCTACCTCTCACACTTTCATTCTGTCCCTACTGTGCCTGTCTCCTCCCCGTGTATAGCTTTTGTCTTTTAAACCCTCTCTGGGTGAGTATTTTCTATATGGATTCCTGTATGTATGTATGTATATATGTATGTATGTGTATATATGTGTGTGTGTGTGTATGTGTGTGTGTGTATGTATGTATATATGTCTGTCTGTATGTATGGCCCCTTATTCTTTCTTTGCTTTCTATTTGTTATTCTCTTAGTTTCCATTTCTCTGTATGCAGCTCAGTCTCTCAGTTCTATTTCTTTGGTTTTGGGGCGGGGGGGTTGTTTGTTTTTTGGTTTTTTGGTTTTTTTGGTACCCAGGATCAAACTCTGGACCTTCTGCTTGCTCGGCAGGCAGCGGAACCACTGAGCTAAATCCTCGGCCCCTCTCAGTTCTATTTCTTAACTTGAATTTTGTGTATTCTCCCTCTCTCCCTCCCCTACTCTGCCTCTTCTCTCCCATCCCCACTTCTTCTTTCTACCCCCACTCCAGGAAGACAAATTGCTTTTGCAGCCCCTCCATCCATGTAATTTTATACAGCGCTGCAGGGAGAGACCAGTTGGAAGAGTGAAAGTCAAGGCTGATTTTCTGTCCTAAGCTCACAGGTGTAACAAAATGGACACATCAGCACCCATGCTCTATTGAAGTTGAATTTCCTTGTTTGTTTCGTTTTGCTTTGAATGAAAACAAATAATAGCAGCAGAGGGAGAGGGTCCCTAGAATGTCTGCCGGTGGGTCCAGCTCTTATTCTCTGTGGGGGGTGGAGTCCAGCAGCGACCCCAGGTGGGAGTTTCCACTTGGGTCCACGTGCTGAGGTCAGACTGGGCATCCATGGTCCCTGTCTTTGCCTGCCTAGAGCCCTAGACACCCTGCTTATAGCTGCTGTCCAATTTCCTATTACCCAAGGTAATTAGCCTCTGTCTTGTCTTGGCTGCTTTGCCTTTCTCTAATCATGAATGGCTGCCAACGGGCCCTAAGAGAATGTGCCAGCAGTAGTTATGCCTGATTCCTGGGCTGGGGAACTCAATCCCACACGTTCAGCGGCTTGCCCCAGGCCCATCCTCACCTCCTCGGCTTCACCACTGTGAAAGGAATGCCAAGGGTGCCTGTGTGTTGCAGCCAAGTGCCAACATCCACAGTGGGAACCAAGTGTTAGGAGAAAGAATTCTTAGCATGGATGGATAGGGTTAGAGGAGTGGAAGGAAAACTAAGGCCCCAAAACAGGGTGAGCATTGTAAAAAATAAAAAATAATAGAAGTATCTGTGTCAGGAATCAGGCAGCAGTTTTCATCTTTTTCACTAATACTTTGGGCTAGTTCATCCTCCTCTGGCCTTGATGTTCTCATCTGTGTAAGGAAAGCTTAAACTTAGTGGCCTCCAAGGTTGCTTACTGAGGTATGGATAGAGACTCCAAACCAAGGTTCTGATCCTCAGGAGGATCAGGACTTTCGGGA